CATGTCCTGCTGTCCTCATACATGTCCTGCTGTCTTCATATATGTCCCGCTGTCCTCATACATGTCCTGCTGTCCTCATACATGTCCTGCTGTCCTCATACATGTCCCGCTGTCCTCATACATGTCCTGCTGTCCTCATACATGTCCTGCTGTCTTCATACATGTCCTGCTGTTCTCATACATGTCCTGCTGTCCTCATACATGTCCCGCTGTCCTCATACATGTCCTGCTGTCCTCATAATATTAGTAGTAATAACTTTTATTTATAAGACACTTTACATTCACAACAGATCTCAAATTGCTACAATGAGTGAACATGAGATAACATGAGATAACATGAGGATAACATGAGGATAACATGAGATAACATGAGGATAACATGAGGATAACATGAGATAACATGGGTGAAGATGAGGATAACATGAGGATAACATGAGGATAACATGGGTGAAGATGAGGATAACATGAGGATAACATGAGATAACATGAGGATAACATGAGGATAACATGAGGATAACATGGGTGAAGATGAGGATAACATGAGGATAACATGAGATAACATGAGGATAACATGAGGATAACATGAGATAACATGGGTGAAGATGAGGATAACATGAGGATAACATGAGATAACATGAGAATAACATGAGATAACATGAGGATAACATGAGGATAACATGAGATAACATGAGTGAACATGAGGATAACATGAGATAACATGAGTGAAGATGAGGATAACATGAGATAACATGAGATAACATGAGGATAAAAGCAACAGAGAGGAGGAACAACCAGGAGGAGAACGCCTCACAATGATCACATCAAAACTTCAAATGCACAAGATGCAGATAAAATACTCAAATCAGAACTATGGGTGGATAAAAAACAAAAGTACAAATCAGTCATTTAAAAAACTGGGTAAAAATAAAGGTTTTAAGATCTTTATTAAAACATGTCACGGTCTGTGGGGCCTCAGACATGAAGGCAGGGCGTCCCACAGCCGAGGGCCAGCCCGGTCTCCTGTAGTGCTGGACCGAGACCTGGGAGTGAGAAGAAGAAGAGTGTTGGAAGAGCAGAGAGTGCGTGAAGGACAACGAGGGGTGAGATGTTCTTTTAAATAAGATAGAGCATCACCGCACCAGCACTGGAAGGTGAGCAGATACATTCTGCAAGTGATCCGAGCAGAAACAGGAAGCCAGTGAAGTGAGCGGAGTCCAGGGGTGCTGTGCTCGTGCTTACACACTCTCATCAGGACCCTGGCAGCGCTGGTCTGGACATACTGGAGCTTCTGTAGGTTCTTGACAGGAATCCTGATGAGAAGTGCAGTAGTCCAGTCTGGAGGAGACAAAGGCATGGACGAGCTTTTCTGCATCGGTGAAGGACAGACCGAAGCGTTGCAATATTTCAAAGATGAAAAAAACAAGTTTTACAGATGTGCTTTATATGACTTTCAAAGGTGAGCTGAGGATCCAAAATGACACCAAGATTGGTGACTGTCCTGGAAAGAGAAATGTTCTGGCCAGAGAAAGAGATACTGAGGTTTTTTTGTTGTTGAATTTGATGTGAAGTACCTATTTGAATTGCTTCCATTTTTGAACTGTTAAAGTGAAGGAAATGTTGCTGCATCCATGCCTTTATCTCCTCCAGACACGCTGTGAGTGGAAAGAGAAGTGGAGAAAATGGAGAAGCTGAAGATGATGTAGATGGGGTCTCAGACACATTGACACCCAGCTTAAGAAACAGCTGAGTATCATCAGCATAGCAATGGAATGAGACCCCGTAGCTGCTGATAATACACCCAAGTGGAACCATGTACAAGTTGAAAAGAAGGGGTCCCAGGACTGATCCTTGGGGCTCACCACAAGAAACAGGATGAGACTTGAGCTGGGGATCCTCATACATGTCCTGCTGTCCTCATACATGTCCTCTCCCAGTCTAACATACTTCTCTGCCACTTCAGATGTCCTCATGCAGCACCACACCCCCTCCCTCAGCACCCTGTCAGATGCTACATCCAAAAAAGGACATTCCATCTGCTCAGTCTCTTTTAGCTTGTTCATACCAGACATATGAAATAAAACTATTTTTTATTGAATTATGACTCGATAATATTGAGCCGTGACAATAACTACCACAATCAGCACCTCGGTCTCTGGGCTGTGAATGCAGGCCCGACCGTAAAGGGATTCACGTTTTGTAATAGCCACTTAAATGGGGTCTCCTGTAGCCCCACAGCTGCTACTTACTGCCAATCTATGCTGCCCCCACCCAACCCCCTGCCCTCCAGCTTTTACAGCTTGTCCTGCTGCTGGTGGTCGGTCTTCCTTCCTGAGGGAACACAGGGCTCTTAGGCCACCATTAGTCCTGCTAATGGGCCTGACAACTGCACCACATCCTCAGCATTTAGACCTCCTCTGTGCAATATGGATATCGACCACTTCAGTGAAAATGGAGTACAGGCAGGGGGTAGGAGTCGATTTCATATGTGCATACATCCATGAAAGTCTTGCAAACACACACTGAAGAAAGCTAGTGCAAGACTCTTTGATGGTACGTGAAAATGAATTCTCAAACAAAATAAAATGAGCATCAAACTATGGAAAACATACTTTATGTCTTTAGGTGTAAATGACTGTTCCTGACTATATTTAGATTCATCAAGCTTTTTGCTTATATGAGTTCTTTTACAATTTATTTTATTCTTCATTTCAACATTTTGACTGTTCACTGCACATCATAATTTCAGGAGGTACGAAGCAGCCATTAGGACATCAAAGATGATAATAAAAATTACTCTGGCAACCTCTGACATCCTTTTTCTTCTTTTGGCTATTTCTTGTACTGCGGTCGCCACAGGAGTCCTCATCCACCATCTCACTCTGTCCTCTGTGTCCTCTGTCCTCACTCTGTCCTCTGTGTCCTCTGTCCTCACTCTGTCCTCTGTGTCCTCTGTCCTCACTCTGTCCTCTGTGTCCTCTGTCCTCACTCCATCTATCTCCATGTCCTCTCTAACTGCATCCATGTGTCTCCTCTTTGTCTTTTTCCTGCAGCTGCATTTCTAACATCCTTCTACCAATATACAGGTGCTGGTCATAAAATTACATCATCATGAAAAAGTTGATTTATTTCAGTAATTCCATTCAAAAAGTGAAACTTGTACATTATATTCATTCATCACACAGACTGATATATTTCACGTTTATTTCTTGTTGATGATTATAACTGAGGGCAGCACGGTGGCGCAACAGGTAGAGCTGTTGCCTCTCAGCGAGCAGGTCCCTGGTTCAAACCCCGGTCCAGGGGCCTTTCTGGGTGGAGTTTGCATGTTCTCTCCGTGCATGCGTGGGTTTTCTCCGGGTACTCCGGTTTCCTCCCACAGACCAAAAACATGCATGTTAGGCTGATTGGTAACTCTAAATTGTCCCTAGGTGTGAGTGAGAGAGTGAATGGTTGTTTGTCTCTATGTGTCCCTGTGATGGACTGGAGACCCGTCCAGGGTGTACCCCGCCCCTCGCACAGTGATTGCTGGACATGGGCACCAGCGACCCCCGTGACCCAAAATGGAATAAGCGGGTAAAGAAAATGGATGGATGGATTATAACTGATAATGAAAACCCCAAATTGAGTCTCTCAGAAAATTAGAATATTGTGAACAGGTTCAATATTGAAGACACCTGGAGTCACACTCTAATCAGCTGATTAACTGAAAACACCTGCAAAGACCTTTAAATGGTCTCAGTCTGGTTCTGCAGCTACACAATCATGGAGAAGACTGCTGACTGGACAGTTGTCCAAAAGACGACCATTGACACCTTGCACAAGGAGGACAAGACACATGAGGTCATTGCTAAAGAGGCTGGCTGTTCATAGAGCTCTGTGTCCAAGCACATTAATAGAGAGGTGAAGGGAAGGAAAAGATTTGGTTAAAAAAAGTGTACAAGCAACAGGGATAACTGCACCTGGAGAGGATGGTGAAACAAAACCCATTCCAAAATGTGGGGGAGATTCACAAAGAGTGGACTGTAACTGGAGCCAGTGCTTCAAGAACCACCACGCTCAGACGTATGCAAGACAAGGGTTTCAGCAGTCACATTCCTTGTGTCCAGCCACTCTTGAACAAGAGACAGTGTCAGAAGTGTCTCACCTGGGACTGCTGCTGAGTGGTCAAAAGTTCTGTTCTCTGATGAAAGAACATTTTACATTTCCTTTGGAAATCCAGGTCCCAGAGTCTGGAGGAAGAGGAGAGGCACAGAATCCACGTTGCTTCAGGTCCAGTGTCAAGTTTCCACAGTCAGTGATGGTTTGGGGCCATGTCCTCTGCTGGTGTTGGTCCAC